ATCATATGCCGGCAATGATGTCTACGGCAACCACGGATTTGTGGGCAACCCTTGGGTGGACACCAACGTGCTCCACCGGAATCCTGCCAAGCAGAGAGCAGCCTATGAATGGCAGGCAGAGCTGGCACAAAAACACGCCCAGCAGATGAGGCGTCTGGCGGACTTGAGGCAGAGGAGAGATGTGGCAGCCCTGATCGTCATCTGCTACTGCGACTCGCAGAGTTATGGACTGCCGGAAGAATTCGCCCGTCAAATGTGCCAGTCAGCGGATGTCTTCACTCGCCTTGGCGTCACGAATGTGACAGGCACCACCCTGGTTCGATCGTGTCAGAGGTATGACAACTTCCACTGCCACAACACCGAGGAGAACCGGGCGATGTTCGCGAAGTTCTACGCTAACGTTGCTTTGTTTGCCTACCACTATTGGGTGCTCGCTGGCGTTGATGTATTGCGCAAAGACGCGAACCTCTTCGCGAAACCTCGTGGGGAGAAAACCAACCGCCAGTATATGCTTGAGCACATCTGGAAGCGGCGCATTGACTCCGGGTACCTCTTCTTGGGTGACTTTGACGAGCACGATGAGCTTATCCCGGGACAGAAGAGACAGACTGCCATCGACCAAAAGAATGGCTGGCTCCTGACGGTCTCTGAGACTACCGAGGTCGCTCACATGGATGATCTTGGGGACCCCGTCTACGCGACTAAGGAGCAGATTGCAGCTGCCAAGCTCTTGCCATTCAATCAGCGACTCTACAATATGCCACGGGGAATCGTTGGTCCGGATGTCTATGACGAGGGTCAGGATGTGCAAGTCCCGGCTGAACCGTCGACGGCTGATCAGACAATGCCGGATGCAAGTGTGCCGGAAGTCATCGAGATTGACGACACCTTTGCGCCCAGCGCTGATTCGCCTCCGGGGACGGAAGGTCGAGATGCAAACAACCAGGCTCCCGTGAGCACTCCGGGCATGGAGTTCGTGTCTGTCACCGCTGATATGCCAAAGCACGGTGACACCGAGGTGGACCCTGTTACCATCACGGAAGAAGAGGAGCTTCATGTATCCAATGAACCCATTGCGGATGAAAACTATGTCAATGAACTTCTCAAAGATCACCTTGACTCCGCCATCAAACAAGGCTTTGAAAACAAAGATCAGCCAGATGATGACTCAGATGAGGAGATTGTGTTCAAGGAACCGATTCTCACATCTATGCATGCCGATTCATGTCAGGTCGCCGGGGTAACCTACCAGTTGAGGAAGAAGGAGGATGAAAGCGATGTCATTCGCATCTATATGGCGGAAGAAGACATCCCTCAGCTCACTGGTGAGGCACTCAGGAAGTTCCGTGAGGTTACAACTCTGGGGAACGAGCCCGACCTGGCCAACAAGGCACCACAACCGAGGATCCCAAAGGCGAAGGCATCAGGTGAGCCGGGGGCACCAAAAGTGCCAAGCGAGACTGCAAAGTCGAAAACAAAACCGGCATCACCGAAGGCAAAAGCACGCCCGGCGGGAGCTGAGGCCGATGTTGAGATGAAGCCAACAGAGGAAACTCAGCCCAAAGTACCAAAACGCCCGGCGGGAGCTGTGGCCTCGGATTCGACCCCGACAGCAAAACCAGCTGTCAAAGCCAAGGCCATGCCTCGGGCACCACCGGTGCCTCCCGTTTCGTCGCCTCTTGGGGAAAACGAAGTTGTGGCATTGCAGTCAAGATCGGTTCCGGGTGCTGCCCTATAGATCAGCCGAGGTTAAAAAGAACCTTTGAGGTTATGCTCTTGGAATAGGCCTATTCCATTGAATAACATCAAAATTTTCAAGTTATCAAATAACCTCAAAAGCAAAGTTATTGTTATAAATAACCTCCAGAAGTGCGATGTTATTCTCAGGAATAGACTCAAGAAGTACACATTATCCTTGAAATATTGAAGCAAATATTTGACCATATATTGGCAAATGAATGATCAAATGTTTGCAAATATGTGCATTTCTCATCTGGTTCATGAACACACCATCACAAATTGTGGCATACTTCAACAAATATTTGAGCAAACATTTGCAAATTCATTACCAACTACTTCAAATCCAAAACTTGAAAGAAAGTCATTAACCCCACAAATTGTGCATATCTCAGGAAACATTTGAACCAGATATTTGAATCAATTGTCACCAAATTTTCCACATGTTGGAACTGATCACCAAAAAATGCTGAGCTGTGAAGAGAACATTTGACCAAATATTTTCAATTATTTGGAGTAACCATCACAAAAGCTATATGCAAATGTCAACATGTTGAATCAGCAGCATTTTTTCCTCAAGGCTGGGACCACAGCATATGCTGTGCAATCCTCCAGTGTTCCATAATCTTGTAGGAGATCTTTTGGGGTTTGTTGCCCCTTGTGCAGGACTGAGCAAGTCTCTGCATGATAGACATGAAATCTTCACCTTGGAAGACCCATGTAAATCTGGGTGAAACAAATTTGGCATCTATGGCAGCATGGCACATAAAGTGCATTTTGGCAGTCACATTGAACATGTTCTGGGGCACTTCTGAATCTTCATGAAAATGGGCATTTAGCACACAAGCTAAATGTCCCAGCTGAAAGACCAGCTTCTCAAACTGGCTGGCATCTGCCTCACCTCACAACAAAAGGGTCTGGCATCAGGAATATAGAAAATGTGCAGTTTTTTAAACATATGCCCTTCAATGATATAACACTCTTATAAGAAAACATTTGACAAGAAAGCAGAAGGCAGCCCAGGAACTAAAGCAAAGATTGCCAAAGTTATCTTCCAGCAAGTCTTCAATTTGACAATTCAATTTCAAGTACACCAGCACCAAAGAATGAACTTCTAAATGTTCATTGCACATGGACTGCCAAATGGCAAGCAACGGTTTGGCTAGGGCTCTGATGTTGGCAGCTTTGCCCTTGAGTTTGATGCCCTTCTTGTTCATGAACATAGAGGTAGTGTGGAAACTGCCATAGCAATCCTTAATGTTGAACTCCTTGTACTTCTCTTTCAACAGTCTAAAGAACAGTGTCAGGTTCTTCTTGGCAGAGCCTTCTTTCATTAGATGGTAGATCAAAAGGAAAACCACTGATCCCAGGCAATATTGATCATGTCCAAGGTATTTGCAGTGCATCCAATCAGCTGCCACATTGGCACCGGTCAAATGGAGAATTTTGAAGATGCAAGACTTACTTCTTCCTGCCCAAGCCATCCAATCTGATGGCTGCCAAATCAAAGTTTTCCAGTGGGCATTGGGTAGGAAAGTTTTCCAGGTGGCATCCCCTGCACCTTGTGCTTGGCACATGGAGCAGCAGTTACCTTTTTTGCCATGATGAGGAAGTTGTAAAGTCTTGTTCAGGTAGTCCAAATCACCAACAAGAGAGCAAAGTACTCCATAGAAGCCATTGGCTAATGGCTTGCCTGCCATTTTGCCATGCTCAGAGTTTGGATGAAATGGTTTGCCATTCCAATCACAATCTGGAAAAGTTCCTGCCAACAAGGCATTGAAGCTCCATGCCAGAATAGTGAATACTGAATCCAATGTGGATCGTTCACCTTCCCTCAGCAACTTCTCAAAGGCCTGAGTGGCAGCAATGCCTTGCTATATCATAAAAAAAGGCAAACCAAAAAGCAAGCTTTGAAGCCAAAATATTTGTGCAAATATTTGCCAGATAATAATATTTTGCAAATACATTCATCACACCAAAAAAATTACTAATAGTTGCTCAAAATATTTGCAAATATGTGAATCAAATATGTCTTTCAAATATTTTTGAAAACCTTGTGCAAAAAAATGAAGCCCCAAGAAAATACAACCCACAACAGAAACAAAACCTTTGGCAACCCAGCTGCCACATACATCACATAGCAGTTTGCCCTGGAGGATGCATTGTTCAAAAGACCAGACCAGCTCATCACCAACATCCCCTTGCTCCAAACTTTACCTATACCAGTTACTGGCATGGCATCTCCATGCACCTTCAATGGCAGAGCCTTTTTGAAACTGTCACTTCTTTGAAGTGCTGGGTGCCCCTTCATTGAAACATGCTTGCTGAACTTCTGCCAAAAGCTTTCAAGACTGTGTGGTGGCTGAGGCAAGAAGTGCTTGAAGAAAGTCTCCCTGTAGTTCTTGTACATGCAATGGAAATGCAGGTGTGGTAGCTGAATATTCTGCAGGAATAGACCACCTTTCCTTGGAAAATTGCTGTGAATTGTTTCAAAAATGAAGACCATATGGCATTATAAAGAAATATCTACAATCTACAAATCAAAAAGTGATGAAACCACATACAAGGCTTCATTGGAATCTTCAGGGCCAAACCATGGGGCAGTGGAGAAGTTGGCTCCAACTCTTTCAGGAGATCTCTATGCATGTTGTTCTCATACATGCCACTACTGCCAAGATTGGCCAGCTTCAGCAATGATGCTGGTGCTTTGGCATTTGCAGCTTCAAAGTCATGTTTGGTTAGCATTGCAATCTTCTGGACTGTTTGAGGGCTCAAAAATCCCTCAGCCCATTGCCTATGCAGCCATGTTGCTAACAAAGAATTTTGTCCCCTTTCCTCTGGAAGAGGAGACTGCGATTCAGCCAGCCTTTGCTGGATACCACCCTGTCTCCTTCTTTTTACCATGGCCAGCCAAAATGACCAGCTGTAGTTAACACAATATCTTCCAAATGTTGGTTTTACTTCTTTGGCTACCTATATCTTCCAATATCTTTCCAATACCAATACAATATCTTTCCAATATCTCTCCAATAACAATAACATATTCACAAATAATCTGGAGCCAAGCGCAGAAAATATAATCATGATGGCCACATGCACAAGCACAACTTCAGCGCAGAAAGCACAAGCTCCACCAAAGGCAACCTCTAAGCAACATTGTTCCTTTCTGCAGCTGAGGAGACATGCTTGTCACATGGTCTAGGTGGAAAACTTGCCACATGTTCAGGCCAAAAGCTATAGCACAAAATTTGCTATGCACCGGTTCACTTGCTGCTGCCACCCCTGGCTTTGATGGCAGCTTTGACTTGCTCCATTTTCTCATAGGCCTTTGAAGTACTCTCAGCAAGGCTCATCATCAAATCATCCATGGTCTTCTTGGTCAGAGGTCCATCAGGAAACTCTTGCCATGTCAAGATGTTTGCCAGCTTGCTGGCATTCCCTTGCAAAGTGCCACAGGCTTCTTTATACTCAGTCCTCAGGTCAGGAAACTTCTGCAAAGTGGGAAGAACTTTTGACACATCCTTTAGCAGCTTTTCCTGAGCTTGCTTTGCCTCTTGCAAGGTGGAGACAATCTTGTCAAAGGAAAGGGCTACATCATCTTTGCTTCCTGATGCCAAGGCCAGCTGTGTCTTTTTGGAGCTGCCATCCTCCAGGCCTTTGACCTTGTTGGTCCAATCACCCCAGGAAGACACAGCCACAGATTGCATTCCCTTCTCCATTGAAGAATGCTCCTTTTGGGTCAGCCCAACCCTTCCTGAAGAGAGAGCCATTTCCTTGTTGAACTCCTTCTTTCTCCCAGAGGTGTTGCTCCTGAAGCCATACAGGGCAGGGCCACCCCCTCCTGCTGTTCAACAAAGATCTCTCCATCATCTAGTGCCTGAAGGAAGGCAGGTTCATTGCCACCATACCAGTGATGCAACATGATTGACCTTGGAAAGGAGTTGTTCTGGTCAACCCCAAATTTTGTGTCATTCGCAGTGGTCTTCATCTCAAAGGCTGGGTCATTTGTTTGCATAGACCAGTTGCCATGCTTGTCCTTCTTAAAGAGCTTGCTAAGAAGGGAGGTCTTGCCTGCTCTTGTAGGCTCTGAGTCTACCACCCGCAAGATCTGATCTGGAATCCTTCCCTGTTTCCTCATGGTGGAAAACTTCAAGCCCACATACTTGTTCCTCTTGGAAGTGCCTTCAGGATCAGTTTCTGGATCATCTTCAAACCCTTCCTCTTCTTCACCCTCTTCAGAAGCCTGCTTTGGCTCAGCCATGCCTTGCTGCCATTTTGTGCACAAAGCCAAAAGACTATTTTTGGCATGCTTAGGCTGACTTGAACTGCTGCCAGCAGCTGGCCTCTTGAGGGAACCACTGGTGCTGTCATGCCCTCCTGTGTCTTTCACACCAGGCTTTTTCAGCACTTTCTTCAAAGCTGCTGCCTTTGTCTTTGCCTTTGCCTTTGCCTTTGCCTTGGGACCGGTGTTTCCCAGACTCTTCATTGCAGCCTTCATGGGTGTTCTCTTCATGGGTGTGCTCTTCTTAGGTGAGGCAGCTGTCTTTGATTTGGCAGGACTTGCAGGCTTCACCTTGGCACCTGGCTTCTTCTTGGCACCTGGCTTCAATCCTGTCTCTGCAACTTCTTCTGCCTTATCTTGTGACATGTGATCAGGATCATTGCCCTCACCTGCACCTTGCTTTGGTGCCATAACAGGGCTTTGTGGTAGATACCTGCTGGTCTTCAGCTCAGGTGTTTGATAGCTGAACATTGTGCTGCCAAGCAATGCATGCAGAAATGATTTGACACATATGTTAAATGTCAATGGAAAGGAACAAATGTTTGATAGATTGGCAGCAAATAGAATTGAAAGGGCTCAGAATGCGTAAAATGTATTTCTAATAGGTGGGGTGTCAATAGATCTCAACCAAATATGAAATATGTTTCAATTAGGTGGGGTGCCAATAAATCTCAAATACATATCAAATATTTTTCAAATAGGTGGGGTGCAAATAAATCTCAAATACATATCAAATATGTCTCAAATAGCTGAGTGCAAATAGATTTCAAATAAATCAACTATGTTTCAAATACATGTAGCATACAAATAAACTGTACAGTTGTTCAAATAGATGTAGTATTAGTATAGAAGGTATTAAAGTTGCTGGTGGCAAACAGATGCATCAAATAGATCTTACATAGATGGAATGAATGTTTCAAGCCTTTCACCATATACACAAACCTTTCCACAAAGCACAAGCAAACAGTAGTGACATTCAGTGTACACAGTCACCAGCAGCTCTTTTTTTTCACACCCACAGGGTTCAAAAGCTCTTGAAGTCAGTGGATTCCTGTGATCCACACAGTGATTCACCACCTGTTCTAGATGGGCCTGTGCTGGAAAAAATCGTAGAATTCACTTGGGATGGCATTGTTGGGAGGTGGCCCACCCTGCTCCAGCTCAAAATAGCTCTTCCTCAGAAATTATAAGCAGGGCCATTGGCCAACAAAACAAATGCGTATGTATTATTATGTATTCCATATTTACACTGCACAATGCATATTTCACAACTCCCACCATGAAGAGCCTAGTGTCCAAATCTTTTGGCCACCTTTCAATTCTTTCACCCTCCATTTAGCACCTCCATGCTCAGCTGTGTAGGTCCTCAAGGTGAAGCTACTGTAGTTGTTGGGGGTCAGCCTTAGAATGTAAATGGCTGTGATGACACACTTTCCAAGTCACCAAGCTTAACTTCTAGTATGTGTCTTTCTTTCAAAATTAGACATATGGTTTCTTGTTTGGCCAAGACACCATGTTTCCCATCCACTTGCCCAAACCACAATCGCACAATCATTCTTCACCTTCATTCCAACAATATGGTCTACCCTTCTGGCCATGGCAATGGCACAGTCTCTCCACTATAGTGGATTCAATCTACCAAAGAGTTTTACTTAGAATTGTTGCATTGTCAATGTCATGTGCTAAACATCAATGACAATGTATTGAGCCTGCAAGGGTCCACACAATGGTTGAATCAGCTAATTATTCATGCCAATTGCATCACAATCTGACACATTTTTGACACAAACCAAGTGAAAAAAAGTAAAATAATATTCCAAAATGTATGTACTTTGTATGTACTTTGTATGTAGTTTATATGTACTTTTAGAAAGTACATACAAAGTACATAGGTATGTATGTACTTTTGAAAACTACATACAAAGTACATACAAAGTACATACAAAGTACATACATGTTTTCTTTAAAATACTTCAAAAACAGATAGTGTTTTCAAGCTTTTTGTTTGGTACCTATATACATATTTTTTCTTCCAACAAAATGGTTGACTGCAGATTTTTTCAGCTGCTCTGCAATGGAACTCTTCAGAGTCTTCTTTGGCATGCACCATTTGGATCCTGCCATGCGCAAGCAGTGAACTTGGTCTAGACAAATATTTTCAAGCAAATAATTTCACTGCATCAGGTAGTACAAAACAGATGTCAAAGCTATAATCTAGATTCTGAATAGTTGTCAAATACATCATTGGTCACTAGGTGCAGTCACCTTAGGCAACTGGTGCAGATGAATCATCTTGTCCTGAGTAGATTGATTTATCAAATTGATAATCGCAAATGTTCTCAACCCAGATATATTTGGTTGATCATATCCTTGCTTAACACACTTGCTATTATAAACCTAGCTCCAAAGATTCCCCAAGCCAAAGGCAGCACAACTTGCTGCCAAAAGTCGTGATTTGCTCATTTTTGGCCTTCCCTGCATATACATCCTTTGTAAGCAGGAGATACAAGTGACATGAACCATTCAAACAAATGAGACTGCAGTTGAAAAGCCTAGACTTTTAGTTTTGGACTTGATGCCAGGTGTCCACAAAAGTTCTCCAGGAACATAGTCAGGGTCAACTTCAGGAGCTGTCCTAGGAGACAACCCCTTAAGAGACCACCAAACAAGTTTCAGACAACTCTTGAAGCAAAGCCAACATGTCTGGAAATAATATTTCAATCCCAGGGTCTTAGGCACCTTTGGGCGGCGACTCTCCTTCTCTCTGGGGATGCTGAGGTACTTCCTGTGCACTAGAGCTCAACTAGTAGAGCATGAGACAAAAAAAGGTACCACACAACACAATCACAGATATGAAAGGCAAGTCTCTTTGGAAATGCTGGTCGAGAAGACCTCAACCGACAGTTTTGTGGAAACCACACAAAAAATTTCATAGCTTGCAATAAGTTGAAATAGATTTCAGCAGCTGTACAGCTTTCAAATATTTGTCAAATATTTGCGCACATATTTCTGGTTCACTTCTCATTTGCACCCTAAGCAAATGACTTTGGGCTCTGCAATGGCCCCTTCTCCCTTGCATCCTGAGGTGCCTTCTGCTCTGAAATTGGCTGGGCCCTGATCAGGCACACAGTAGTGCTGGTATCTTGCTTCTGATATCATTGGCTGCACTGTTTTCACAAGCAAAGCAAATGCATTTGAAGAATTAACATTCTCAAAACAAAACCAACACCTTTAGGAACCAATATGAAAATGTTCACTCAAGAGAATGTCAAAGCTCTTGCATGCTGGGCACCTTTTGGGAGGAGGTTCCATTGGCCTAGATCCAACAAAACAATGTTAAAGCTCCATTTAATGCTGCCTAATCAACATGCCAATAAACCACCAGGAAGCCTTGATGGTGGTCTTTTGCCTTTGCTCTTGCCTTTGCTGCTGCCTTTGCACCTCAAAAGCAAAGAACTTCTTCAGGCACAAGCCAACATATGACTGGAAAGCAAAAATCCAAAATTGGTGTTTCAAAATTGCAATCAATGCCCAGCATATTTCTTTCACAAATGCAGCCATAGTTGCCCCTTCTTGGGACATGCTGCTTTAATAGCAGGCCTCATGCAATTGTCACACTGGAGCCTTCTTAATTTGGATTTTTTGCTGTAGAGATCTTTCATAGCAAAACTGCTTCAACTGGTCTCTATGTGAATTGTCTCTTTTTGTTTTCACAAAACTCATCAATGCCAACCAAGATTGAAAATAAAAATCAAAGACATGAAAGGTTGATAAACAATCCAGCTTCAAATCTTGTCCACATATATAGTACTATATTGTTTTTCCCATACCCAAGCCAAAGCACTTGGAAGTTGTTGTTTCTGGGCAATGCTTTGCAGGAGTCCTGAGTTTTCCATCGAAGCAGCAAAGGATCAAATCTTTTAAATCCAGGTCTATACATATCTACAGTTACATGAACATGTGAGAGATCATCCAAAAAGCACAGCCAAACAATCACAGCAAGGTCCTTGGAGGGTTCTCTGGGCTCACAGGTCGCCTTGGGTGGTGCTTGCTTTGACTTGCTAGAAAAAACTGGATGCAAACAAAACCTTTCTTCAAGTGCTTAGGTTTGGGCTTCACTTTCAACTCTTCTTCAGTCTTGTTGATGGCCTCACCTTGAGACTGGCCAATGGTGCCACCAGATTGCCTGACATAAACACCAATCAAACCAATCAAAGAATACCAATCAAACCAATGAACATAGACCCAAGCCTGCAACTGGGTACCGGTAATGGCCTTCCAAGCAAAACATGAACAAGCTCTTTGCACCCCCTTCAACAACATGGACTGATAATCAAAGGTCAGAGTCAGACCCATCCAATACAAACAAATCTAAAACTGAACCAGCCTTCGAGGTGCAGAAGAAAAAGAAGGATCCACTGGCTGGGACATGGCAGAACCCTGGCTGGTGCAATATGGGTTGTTCCTTGGCCCACAGCATTGGGACCAAAGACAATGCAAATAAGTGACCTGAAAATAGCTCTGAACATGCATAACTTTAGCAAAGGCTCTGATTCACTGTTTTGGCAACTTCAACCTTCATAGGTTTGTGCCACCAAGACCAGACATCTGCAGTGATGTACTTGCCATTCAGCTGCTGTTCCATGAGCAGAGCATCTTCATGGTTGGAGCACCATACAAAAGCGCTTTGCTGGGCATAAACACTGGTCTTGGTTTTATTCTTCATCATGAAGACCCTCCCAGTGTGCTTGCACCCATAGGCCTTCAGCTCTGCCAGCAAATGATATTTGCTGAAGTCCCAAGGCAGATTGGCCACATAGCATCTGTCTTCCATGGGGTTGGATGCCATTTTTTCAAGAAACAATGCACAAAATTGTTTCAAAAATGCACAACCCTATTGTTTTGAAGCTAGCTGAAATTCCATTGCATGTGGTACATATAGAAAAAGTGAAAGTCACCTGTGTTTGCAGTATTTTGTGTCCTTCTCATGTTCTGAGAACTGCTTGCCTGAGCCGTGAAAATTGCAGTCACACCAGGTGCCCACTGCAATGCTGCTGCAACATTTTTTTGCATAAGCTCTGATACAAATACAAGAAAACACATGAAATTCAATTGAAGCCCACAAGATCAGCAATGCACACATAAAGCATCCACACTACATGCTCAGCAAAAAAAATGACCAAATACCTGGTAAGCAAACATTTGTTCAACAATGCTTGGCTGGTGACTTGTTGTACAAAACTATATCCATGAACATTTGTTGCACCAGCTTTTGTGCAATCATTAAAATGAAGCACTCACACAAGGTATCTGAAAATACATGGTATAGCCAAATAGTTCTTTACAATAGTTTCTGCCATGGGCAGCAAATACTTGGAGCAAATACTTGGAGCAAAAATATATGGTATAGCCAAACAGTTCTTTACAATAGTTTCTGCCATGGGCAGCAAATACTTGGAGCACATACTTGG